TCAAAATATCAGATTGAATTAGATGTATTCAAGTTCAATTAACATAAAACATAATAGAAATTTAAGTATGATTATTAAAGATAAGTAATGACCAGCATTAAATTATATAAAAAAGTAGGCCACTAAAATGTACTGCCTGCTGTGCCTTGATTTAACTGTCTTCAAACTTTGATCTTCATGTTGTATTTAGAATTATATTACAGCAATTATATAACCTGAGGGTTGAATGAAATAATTGAACCCCATGACATTGGAACCAATGTTCAGACATTCTACTGCCATTTCTGGTTTCCCCAGCCCTTATATTGGTGGAATGTTGCATAAACCCCCGGTCACACTGTTTTCTTATTTGTGTGGCTTTGCTTTCAACAGCAGGTTACAATCACATAGGTGTGTGAAGGCAGCAAGCTATGTCAGCAATCTTAGATTCTATTAATCTCGGCTGATGTAAGATAGGAATTATAGTTTATAGTTCTCATGTAGACTGTTACTCTGGACTCTACCAGTCAGAATACCTGACAACAAATATGGGCATCTTTGTATCAGAGGAGGACGCATAGCATCTTGCTGTGATGGTAAACGATCATTAACCATAAGAATAGGACGTGAAGAAAGTATCAGTTAACCTGACAGTAAGTCTGTTGATTTGTCAACTTTGTGAAAAAGTTGGTTTAGAAGAGGTTATAGATCCATGCCATGTTTAAGTGAGTGAGTGAGTGAGTGAGTGAGTGAGTGAGTGAGTGAGTGAGTGAGTGAGTGAGTGAGTAGGATTTGAGTGCTTTTAGCAATATTCCAGAGATATCATGGCGGGGGATAACAGAAGTGTAAATTCTGGCCAATTACCAAAATTTGGAATTTGGCAGTAAAAGTAAGTCCGCCTCTTGATATGACTAAGTTTTTATTCACACTTTACAATTATTAGTTTTAATTGAAAGTATATATCTACAAATGTTCATAAAAGGGGTTGTCGGATGAGGATGGGGGCAACCCTCACATTTTAAAATTTAAGTAAATCTGTAGTACAAAAAAACTCTGCTGTGATGCTGCTTAGTGTATCATGGTAAAGGCCACACGTTGTTATATAGTGTTTGCCCGCTCTATTTTCTTGATAAGATTGCCCTTTCAGTAAGAGAAAATATTTACGCTTATATCATTTTTGTTCCCGAATATACTTTGAGATATGAAAACAAGTTCTATATAAGTAGTGTTATGCACCATGTTGTGACAACCAACATACGTAATTCAGACTGAGCTGGCGAGTAAGTTGGGTGTGACATGGTAACAGCTACATCATGGAGACATCTTGGTGTAACACGGGAAGGCAAAACAAGAATCAGGGGATGTGAAATTGGGATGTGAATCCTCAAATCAGTAGATCCATGCATAGCTTAGGGACATACTACTGCACATCCACACTGCATCTAGTGATACTCTGAACATACACCCCATCTTGTGATCCTCTGAACCTACACCCCATCTTGTGATCCTCTGAACATACACCCCATCTTGTGATACTCTGAACATACACCCCATCTAGTGATGCTCTGAACATACACCCAATCTTGTGATACTCTGAACATACACCCCATCTAGTGATACTCTGAACATACACCCCATCTAGTGATACTCTGAACATACACCCCATCTAGTGATACTCTGAGCCTACACCCCATCTTGTGATACTCTGAACATACACCCCATCTAGTGATACTCTGAACCTACACCCCATCTAGTGATACTCTGAACATACACCCCATCTAGTGATACTCTGAACATACACCCCATCTAGTGATACTCTGAACATACACCCCATCTAGTGATACTCTGAACATACACCCCATCTAGTGATACTCTGAACATACACCCCATCTAGTGATACTCTGAACATACACCCCATCTAGTGATACTCTGAACATACATCCCATCTAGTGATACTCTGAACATACACCCCATCTTGTGATACTCTGAACATACACCCCATCTAGTGATACTCTGAACATTCACCCCATCTTGTGATACTCTGAACATACACCCCATCTAGTGATACTCTGAACATACATCCCATCTAGTGATACTCTGAACATACACCCCATCTAGTGATACTCTGAACATACACCCCATCTAGTGATACTCTGAACATACATCCCATCTTGTGATACTCTGAACATACACCCCATCTAGTGATACTCTGAACATACACCCCATCTAGTGATACTCTGAACATACACCCCATCTAGTGATACTCTGAACATACACCCCATCTAGTGATACTCTGAACATACATCCCATCTAGTGATACTCTGAACATACACCCCATCTAGTGATACTCTGAACATACACCCCATCTAGTGATACTCTGAACATACACCCATCTAGTGATACTCTGAACATACACCCCATCTTGTGATACTCTGAACATACATCCCATCTAGTGATACTCTGAACATACACCCCATCTAGTGATACTCTGAACATACACCCATCTAGTGATACTCTGAACATACACCCCATCTAGTGATACTCTGAACATACACCCCATCTAGTGATACTCTGAACATACATCCCATCTAGTGATACTCTGAACATACACCCCATCTAGTGATACTCTGAACATACACCCCATCTAGTGATACTCTGAACATACACCCCATCTAGTGATACTCTGAACATACACCCCATCTAGTGATGCTCTGAACATACACCCCATCTAGTGATGCTCTGAACATACACCCCATCTAGTGATACTCTGAACATACATCCCATCTTGTGATACTCTGAACATACACCCCATCTAGTGATACTCTGAACATACATCCCATCTTGTGATACTCTGAACATACACCCCATCTAGTGATACTCTGAACATACACCCCATCTAATGATACTCTGAACATACACCCCATCTAGTGATACTCTGAACATACATCCCATCTTGTGATACTCTGAACATACACCCCATCTAGTGATACTCTGAACATACACCCCATCTAGTGATACTCTGAACATACACCTAATCTAGTGATACTCTGAACATTGAATGAGTGAGTGAGTGAGTTGGGTTTTATGTCGGTTTTAGTAATAATCCAGCAATATCACACCCAGGGATACCACAAATCGGCATCACACATTGTACCCATGTGTGGAATGGAACCTGGGTCTTTGGTGTGACGAGCGAACACTTTAACCACTTAGACTACCCCTCCGCCCCCTCTGAATATTGACAAAATACAATTCAATATGAACATAGGTCAACATGAAACTATAAGAAAACATTACTCATACCAGACATTAATAACAAAACATTATGTCTGGTCAATCTTGTTTTTCAGTCTATTCATTAAAGATTGAATAGTCCATTTAGAGGACTTGTAAAGACGTAAACTTTGGACATTCAGCTGTCAGCTGACGTCATTAATATGCATCAACAAACAACTTGGTGATCATTTACAAAGAACAATGAAGATGCCCTGCCCTGAAAGCCCAACACTGCCCAATTTAGAGCCATATGGATCCTTATAATGTTCACAAGAACCATTTTGCAGACATGATTAGTTTTAAGATAGCTATAAAATAAAATTAATAAAGAAGATTAAGTGTATTGAATACTTATGTTCAACTAAGCTACTATGAGCAAAGTATTTCCATATTCATGTTTCACCAAGATGGCCACCGCCAGGACTACTTGTGGTACAAACACAATACCTTGTACAATCTGTGAGATACACATTCTTAAAATTTCATCAGTTACATTTGGCCCAATAGACATTAGACAGTACATATACAGTAACTATTAGCAGCCATCTGCATTACCCTAGGATAAAGCAATTAGTAGCTAGTAGATTAAGTTACAATCTATACAGAGTAGGGCTAATCACTGATCCATCCTGCGCATGTGGAAACTCGTGTGAAAATGCTCATCACTATTTCTTAGAATGTTCTTTATACAATCAACATAGAAAGATCATGCTTAAGGCTATTCAAGATGTATGTGGTAGTAATTCTGTGATTACATTATCTGTTATTTTAAATGGCATTGCAGATCTGACAAATCATAAAAATGAAATTATGTTAAAAAATGTACATCAATATATAAGCAAATTTAAACGATTCCAGTAGTCTTCTCTCTATACACCTTCTGCATTATAACATTTCCCCTGAACTGTCAATCGTCCTCTGTCTCTGTTTCTAATAATTGCTTGTGATGTAATTAGTTATTGTAAATATCTTCGGAGAGGGGTTTTTAAGTTGAAAGGACTTGTCCCCGATCCTTTTCACATTGTGAATAAAATATGTTTAAACTAAACTAATAAAGCAATTCTGGACAAGAAGAAGACAATGAAAGATATGTAATTACCTATGTTTCAAGTTACCATTAGACTATAATGGATATGATAAGTTAAATTCATTGACCAAATAAATAAAAAATTGAAACCACCATAGGAACTTATTTCGATCATAATTCTGATAGTTAGAACTTTGACCCTGAAGAACATGCATTGTAAGTCTCATCAGGTGAATTCCCTAATCAGTTAATCAGGGCTGAGGCTTCTGAACTCTGCATGAGCGAAGCATTGAGACAAGCATATCTGATTTGAGTATGTTCAAAAGGAATGTAAATGAGGAAATCTGATTGTCAAACACCTGAGGCCAGGCTATAAGAATGTTGTTGATAGTTTCCACTTGTCATGGTTATGTACCACCATGGTGGCATCTACACCCAAAACAGAGTGCAGAATGTGTTCTTCTGTGGCAGAGATTGAAGTTTCCAATCAGAGGAGTCAAAAAAGAAGAAGCCAATTTGCTTTAGAAGCTGAGTTGTGATTGGCTCAAGACCTGCTCATACTCCATTTTATCAAGCGGACAGAGTAGGTTAGATACTTCCCATAATATCATTGTTGGCCGTTCAAAGTTCATAAACTTTCACTTTGTTACAGGCAGACTAAATGGAAAGTACAACGAACATACAAGTTTGCAAATAAATGTTAACAAAAATGGCCTACCTTCAACTTCCTGCGAGCATTGAATTTCTTGAGGCAGTCCACTGTCTCCTGTCTGTGGACAACAGATGCCACACGTTCCCGTTGCTGAAAATAAGAAAAATAACTTGAGGCAAACAGAATTAATCTATCAGGTGTTCAGTTTTGTTGAAACAGTGATAACCAACACTCACTCCAATTGCATGAAAACGAACTGTATCACCAAACCCTAACAATAATCATACAATAAACGACAACAGCATAACCTTAACTAAACAAAGCACATTTCACACTGTACAGTTTACACCAACAAACATAAAATCTAAAATAAGTCTACAGAAAGAAAAAAATCAATTGTAAACAATGAAATGGTTCATCATAGATAGTTTGATAACACTTGAATGCTTTATATCCAGTAAGTGTAACGTCACGCTAACATGACATAATCCAACAAAAGTCAACATATCCTGGATGACATCAATGATTTCCATCAAAGTAATAAATCACATTTTTCGAGGATTTCTCCAGTGCCACCTTCATCTTTCCTCTCACACAGTCTTCATACTAAGTTGCAACTGTCCAGAATTCCAATACAACCTATCAGAGCACAGAGTGAACAAGACCAAGTGGAACGAGCTGATATATCAAATGATCAGCACAGGTGAGCAAAGAATAGGTAACTCTACTGTTGTGTCTGATGTACATACACTCTCTACACTCAAACCCAGATCTGACACATGCAACTAAAATAGAACAGTGGGGGCGACAATAAAAAAGATCACTTATTTGATTAACTGTTAAACTCATGGCAGGGACATTGTAGTCACTTTGTTATTTGTCTACGCTAGCTTGAATTAACTTCAGAATAACTTTTGGAAATCTCTAAATACACGTAGATGTATAGTCATTTGACATTTGGAGGATGAAGCTTGTAATATGACGAACATTCATGCTTAAGAGTTTGTACAACTTACTAACAGGTGGAAAGTTAACTTGCATTTTCACGTACAACGAAAGGACAGATACATTCCAGTCTGTTTCAGATGTACCTTGAATGAGCGTTTCTTCTAGAATGTTTAAGTCGAAAGGTTTGGCTGGCACTTATATGATTTTTAGTAAGCTTCTGTCATGTAATGAAAGCTGAACATTTGAATTTACCTTAATATAATATCCTCCTCTATTCTCAAAGCGCAACATATTTCCAAAATTCCACTCATTTATCAATTAATTAATTACACATAAAAGAATAAATTCATTGAAAGCATAGAAATTTAAGGTCTATGATTCAAAATATTGTTACTATATGATATTTATGATTGAGATCCATACACAAAGCTTTGTCTATGTGTCATCTCCACTTAACAGGTTATAGACTCAAGACAATCACACAAAGATGTTCAGATAACTTTAAAATGTCATCAACACAGTTTTTACATCTGTCTCTACTAGGTGAACCTCATAAACAGTAAACTTTCTTCCTGTTAAGACCTACTTATTACACAAAACATCACAGCACAAAAAATAAACTGCAGTTAAAATTACCTTGAAACCAGGTAAAATTACCTTAAAACCAGTTTAAACAAGAAAGGTATGTCGCAAGGAGTGTCACATAAATTAGACCTTCAGCCAAACACTTGTATGTTGCAATGTTGGTGTAACAGTTTCATCTCAACAGTCACCAAAGATGAAGGAAAATTGTACTCACGCATATCCAGGGGTGTTTGAGGGCCTCAGAGGCGGTGATCCTCTTGGCTGGGTTGACAGTGAGCATACTGTTGATGAGGTTCTTAGCCTCAGGAGTAACTGTGTCCCACTCTGGTGAGGGGTACTGAAATATAAACATAGTCATCAGGACCCATGAAGTTGAAAGATGAACAAAATTCTTTCTTTCAAATGCACAACACCACCACCCCCACACACCCAAAACCAGTACTAGGTTGCATACCTTCTAAGTGCAAATCTTGACACATGTGCATGGGAGGAATACATTTACATTTTTCTCTTTTTATATAATGTCTAAAAAGGGCAAATTGAAAAGAACAATAATTTAAGAATAAATTCAACCCTGAATGAAAGAACATATATTTTAGTTGCCATATAACTGCACAATACACCAATGCTGTTCCCTGCTCCTGATGATGTCATAAAGTTAGGGTCACGTGACAAATCTATGGCTGTTACAGGACGTCATGATACAGATGAAAAATGTCAGGGGGAAGTAATCAGTATTGTGTTTTGTTGTAAACATAAATATGGGAATAGGGTTCAAGGTTATGGGAATAGGGTTCAAGGTTGAGGATAGTGTTCAAGGTTATGGGAATAGGGTTCAAGGTGTTGAAGCCTGGATTAACAACGTTGGAAAAGCATATTCTAGATCAGTTTGTCGAATAAACAATATACATCTCACAGACTGGTTATTACATGAGAAGGAATAACCTCATGATAAAGTACTTACAAGAAGTTAAAGAACACCCCTGTTGTTCATATGGCTATAGCAGATCTGTCATAGTTGGTGAGTATTGCAACATACTGCCTTCCTACTGTGGGCGTTGTTTAAATTGTTTGGGGCAGTATATATTCACCTGATTATCACCTGATACCAAAGTCTGGAAACCATTAGATAATGATTCAAGACATCGTTAAACAAAACCACTCATCTGTACCACATCAGAACAGCCATATTTACACAAGGGCACAGTATGACATTACAAAACCCATGGCAGTTAATCAAGTGGAAATTGTGATGATTTGATCAGAGCTGAACTTTTGTAATATATATGTGACTGCAAGGCTCTAGGAACATATATAGCTTGCGTACGCATTATTCTCGAGAATATACAGTAGTTTAGATAAGACATATTCACTGGCACAAGAATTAATGGCAATGCTGGTGAAACATTCTGGATAAGTAAACACACTTAAACACGTGGATGTATTCCTACAAAGTAATATAGAATCTATGGGAACCACATATTCCTCATATTGCAGAGTTGTCATAAGCACTTCAGTCAACAAATTGTATTAATCTTCATCCGATTCCTGTCCCCTTCTGACATTTCATGTTAATCTTGACAAATAAGAAAACCGAACCTAATATAAACTTAAACTGATTGTAGGTTGTGAAATCTGAGAAGGAAGAAATGTTGTATCCAAGCTTACCTTGCTTTATAATGAGTTCGATAAGATTATTTTCAAACACGAATTAACTGGTAACAAAACACGGTTCCAAAGAAGATTTTTATAGAAATAAGGGACAAACGCTGATGAATTTAAGAGAAAAACAGAAAATGTTTAAATCTAATCTTACTGGATTGACCAACATTGCCATTTGCATGATCAGTTACATGTTAAATGTCACATCTTCTAAGCAGGTTCTCAGTTCGTTCTGAGTAAGTTAATTCAATCTGACGTAAGTGAGTTGGGTTTTACACAACTCCTCAGAACACTACCAGATTTCAGCTAAATGATAGGGTGTCGGCTTGATGTGAAACCCAGTGATGAAGTGGAGATATCACAAGAGTGAAATCCATGAATGTGAAACCCAGTGATGTAGTGGAGATGTCACAAGAGTGAAACCCATGTATGTGAAACCCAGTGATGTAGTGGAGATATCACAAGAGTGAAACCCATGTGTGTGAAACCCAGTGATATAGTGGAGATATTACAAGAGTGAAACCCATGTATGTCAAACCCATGTATGTGAAACCCAGTGATGTAGTGGAGATATCACAAGAGTGAAACCCATGTGTGTGAAACCCAGTGATGTAGTGGAGATATCACAAGAGTGAAACTCATGTATGTGAAACCCAGTGATGTAGTGGAGATATAACTGGAATGAAACTCATGTATGTGAAACCCAGTGATGTAGTGGAGATATCACAAGAGTGAAACCCATGTGTGTGAAACCCAGTGATATAGTGGAGATATTACAAGAGTGAAACCCATGTATGTCAAACCCATGTATGTGAAACCCAGTGATGTAGTGGAGATATCACAAGAGTGAAACCCATGTGTGTGAAACCCAGTGATGTAGTGGACATATCACAAGAGTGAAACCCATGTGTGTGAAACCCAGTGATGTAGTGGAGATATAACTGGAATGAGACCCATGTATGTGAAACCCAGTGATGTAGTGGAGATATCACAAGAGTGAAACCCATGTGTGTGAAACCCAGTGATGTAGTGGACATATCACAAGAGTGAAACCCATGTATGTCAAACAGTGATGTAGTGTGAATATCACTTGAGTGAAATCTGTGTATGTGAAACCCAGTGATGTAGTGTGAATATCACTTGAGTGAAACCTATGTATGTGAAACCCAGTGATGTACTGTGAATATCATTGGAGTGAAACCTATGTATGTGATGTTAACTAGTGTAATATATCCCCAAAGATTCTTTTCATGGCACTCTTCATGGGAGCAAACGACAAATCTCCACATGCTGTGAGTGCTAATTGTCTTTCTTTTACATTTGCATTGTCCAATAACTTGAATGCTAATACTGCATCTGATAGAGTCATATCAAACTTTTTTGACCTGTTGTACCTCTGTTCGAATTCCAAAATATATTCAATCATATTCACACTGTCCAATTTCTTGAAAATTTCAAAGTTCGAATAAGCTTCATTTTATGCACTTTCTTTCTTTTCTTTCAAGAATGCACCATCCAAGGAATTAAGAAGTGTATCCATTCCATTTTCATTATCTAAGTCGTTGGCTGGAATTTCTAGTGCTTTGTGTCTCGCCTTACCTGACAATGATAATGTTACCGCTAATGCCTGCTTCTCGGGTTTCAGTTCGGTAATTCTCCGCCATATTGCTATCTCAGTCTTCCATTCGTCATACGTTTGACTTTCAAACTTCGGTGGCATTTTGTAGAATGTAGCCATTTTCTGTTACCAATACGCACACTTTCACTTTCTGTGCAAAATTCTTTGGTTACGCTCTGCTACCAATGTTAAATTGGCTTTATTCAGTTCATGAATACCAGATACAACATTACATGCCATGTGCTTGTGCTCGACATGTGAAACCCAGTGATGTAGTGTGAATATCACTTGAGTGAAACCCATGTATGTGAAACCCAGTGATGTAGTGTGAATATCACTTGAGTGAAACCTGTGTATGTGAAACCCAGTGATGTAGTGTGAATATCACTTGAGTGAAATCTGTGTAAGTGAAACCCAGTGATGTAGTGTGAATATCACTTGAGTGAAATCTGTGTAAGTGAAACCCAGTGATGTAGTGTGAATATCACTGGAGTGAAATCTGTGTATGTGAAACCCAGTGATGTAGTGTGAATATCACTTGTGTGAACTCTGTGTATGTGAAACCCAGTGATGTAGTGTGAATATCACTTGAGTGAACTCTGTGTATGTGAAACCCAGTGATGTAGTGTGAATATCACTTGAGTGAAATCTGTGTAAGTGAAACCCAGTGATGTAGTGTGAATATCACTTGAGTGAAATCTGTGTAAGTGAAACCCAGTGATGTAGTGTGAATATCACTTGAGTGAACTCTGTGTATGTGAAACCCAGTGATGTAGTGTGAATATCACTTGAGTGAACTCTGTGTATGTGAAACCCAGTGATGTACTGTGAATATCACTTGAGTGAAATCTGTGTATGTGAAACCCAGTGATGTACTGTGGATACCAAGACAGGGAAACCCATCAGCATTGGCTGGGTGCTAACTAACTTACGAGTGATGCAGTGAGTGATGAAGGAAGTAATGCAATGAAAGAAGCAGTGAATGATACAATCAGTGATTTAGCAGTGATGCAGCAATAAATGATGTAGTAAGTGATGTAAAAGTAATGCAGTGAGGCAGCGTGTGATGTCGTAAGTGATGTAGTGAATGACATGAGTGAGGCATCAAGAGATGCAGTGTGTGATGCAGCAGGTGATGTGAGTGATATAGGCAGTGTAACAGTGTGTGATGCAGCAGGTGATGTGAGTGATATAGGCAGTGTAGCAGTGTGTGATGCAGCAGGTGATGTGAGTGATATAGGCAGTGTAGCAGTGTGTGATGCAGCAGGTGATGTTGTGAGTGATGCAGCAGGTGATGTTGTGAGTGATGCAGCAAGTGATGTTGTGAGTGATGCAGCAGGTGATGTGAGTGATACAGGGACCATAGCAGTGTGTGATGCAGGGTTGATGCAGTGACTATTGCAGAAAATATGGCCTGATGCATCAGCACAGCCAATACTGCATGCCACCCAAAATATCTGTTTGCTGTTTAATGCTGCACTCGGTAATATTCAAGATCTGTGGTTTCTATCTGTAAACTGAGCCTGGACAGGACGATCCTGTGATAAACATCATCAGCCTCGATCTATGCGAATAGGACGCAATGATAGGCATCAATCAAATCAGTGTGTCCGACCACCAGATCAGTGTGTCCGACCACCAGATCAGTGCGTCTGACCACCAGATCAGTGTGTCCGACCACCAGATCAGTGCGTCCGACCACCAGATCAGTGTGTCCGACCACCAAATCAATGTGTCCGACCATCAAATAAGTGTGTCCCACCACCAAATCAGTGTCCAACCACCAAATCAGAGTGTCCGACCATCAAATAAGTGTGTCCGACCACCAAATCAGTGTGTCCGACCACCAAATCAGTGTGTCCGACCACCAGATTAGTGTGTCCGACCACCAAATCAATGTGTCCGACCACCAAATCAATGTGTCCCACCACCAAATCAATGTGTCCGACCACCAAATCTCTATAACAAGTATGCGTTGCTGAAAAACCAGCTCCAATATCTAGGATTAACCACATAAAGGTTAAGCATGGGTACACTGCATGACCTGCTAGTGCCATGCCCCATACAGGTCATCAGGGGTTGAAAAATACCATTGCCTGATGCCCAGGTCGTGTGGAATTCTCCGGTCGATCAAGTAAGTATCCACATTAAACTTTACCGTGGTACAGTACTGCCAAACTACTGAAATGTTTTGATGTATGTGTTTGATGATGAAACAAAAAATGCAATTTCCTAGCGCATTCTTAGAATGACTTGCATTGTATTTCTTCAATCGATATTTGCAATGTTTAGATTTATTAGCTGTTTTGTTGTTTATAATTGATAAAGATTATTTGCAAAAGAAACCAAATTGTTAATTGATCAAGTGAAATTAATATTTGCTGAAGTGGATTTTGAAACTTTACAGAACCTGTGCCCAGAGGAGTTTTGAAAAAATTTCAACTCCTGCCTGGTCATGCAGAATGAACTTTGAAAATGAGATGAGTTGAGCTTTTTTTAACAGATAAGCACAAGTTATTTCCAGACAATGATTTACTATCTCATTTTAGAAACATAACAAATTTTGAAAATGAGGTAAGATGAGCTTTTATAACACAGACATGCACAGTTTACTTCCACAAAATGATTTGCTATGTCATAAAACCAATGTATGTAACTTGATCCTTTCTCTTGAAAGAGCGAAAGTCAGCTTTTTTCATATATCAAATATGAAAAAGAAATATGCAAATGCTGGCAAATGTTATTCAGATAAGAGCATATGGTCACAAACAAACTAAAGCTGACTTGAAGTAACGCTTTTATTACACTCACATCCATAGCGTGTTAAAGATAACCTAGTGCAAAAGGACCTGTGAGATTATAAAATTAAATTGAATAAATAGTAATTAAACACCTGTGTTAATTAATAACTGACCATGGATCATGCACAATGAACTACTAGGCTACTACACCTGGTCTTATACTGTCTCAAGCTATTCTGTGACAAAAGCCAGCTGTTACTGCTTCAACAGCTGATACGGTGCTTTAAATTCTCTAACAGTTTCACAGGTCGTTGCAACCATTTTTCATCCTGAGCAACCATTGAGGTATGGTGGCATGGCATGGCGTGGCGTGGCATGTGCCCCTGTGCACGTTTACTAGTTGAGAGTAATGTTGGTGTTATACAGGTAGCTCACTGGATGAGTGAGTGAGTTGAGTTTTACCCTGCTTCGACCAATATTCCAGCAATATCACGGCAGGGGGACACCAGAAATGGGCATCACATATTGTACACGTGGGGAATTGAACCCGGGTCTTCGGCATAATGAGCGAATGCTCTGACCACCAGGCTACACCATCGCCCCAGGGTAGCTCACTGACATACCATGGTGCAGTTTAGCAAGGATACCCCAGCCAGACACTGTATAAGAAGTCTGGGTCAACCCCTCCTTGTTATATTTCCTTAACACCGAGTGACAGGCAAGGCACCAACACCTAGTACGAGATGTTTTAGAGGCTGGAGGCCTGTTCTAACCCAGATTGTGGCAAGTTTGTAGTCATGCCAATACACAGTATAAACAGGGCGCCTTTGGACTAATGGCTAATCCCCAGAAAATGACACCTGATAGCCTGCTAATATCACAAACTCTCACTTGAACGTGTTCCATTACATACGATGTGCAAATAACAGAGTGAGTGAGTTTGGTTTTACGCCGCTTTTAGCAATATTCTAGCAACATCACGGCGGGGAACACCAGAAATGGGCTTCACACCTTGTACCCTTGTGGGGATTCGAACCCGGGTGTCCGGCCTGACGAGCCAACGCTTTAACCATTAGGCTACCCCACCGCCCCGCAAATAACAGAGGCCTGTCAGGACCATCATAGACTGCTAATAAACTAACAAACACTACTAGCATGTAATAATAACATAATAACAACCATAGCCCACCACCTTTCATCTCAGTCTGTGATCTTTGCTAACACTGACCGATGATGGCCCTTTGACTTCACAATCATAAAAGTTCAACTGCCACTTGTTGTCAACGAAAACGATTCTATTCAACTGCAAAACCAAATGTCCCTTAAACCAGTTAAACCTATTCAAATCCAAGTAAAATTTCAGAATTGCGAAATACGAGTCTATCCGGCTGACATTTATGTAATGTCACTTAAAACTGTGTAGAAGATTTTAAGCGTGACTACCAAAGAACTGACTAACTGTAAATTAAAGGTCATCACAGATGGCTACTAAAGGGATTTCAGACTGACAGTATCAAATGGCAATAATACATCCCTTTGCAATTTTTTTTTGAAGAATGGCAACTTCTAAAACTTAGGTGTTTACAAAAAGTTTGCCAAATGCAATATGCATAAAACAAAGGATGCATCCACATTCCTATTGATCATGACGTCCACACAGCATATGCAAGACCTAAATCATAAAGTGATTGGCTGAGGGGACACAGTTCACACATACGTTGTCTGAAACAGTGCGGAGGGGAGGGCGATATACAGAAAAACACACTTACACAAAGTGACCATCCATCTAACATGGCTTGTGCAACATCACCTCAAAAGGACTGTAGTTCTGTCAGTGTTGGAAGTTTAAGGTCATACACGTTAGACTGCCCCAAGTGTGAACCAGGTGTTTAACATTTCTAGCGTGCGTGTTCAACTGTACAAGAGGCGAGAATTCGTCAGTGTGCGGTGACATGGAGTGATAGTTGTTTAGTGCAACATTTAACAGTGGCCTGTTTCACAGTGGCCACTGTATAGTTAATACCATGCATGTCAAGCCAGTAGCTGACATGCTGATCATTCTTGCTGTCATGTAAGATTGCACACAATGAGGTAATCTACTGCGACAATCACACCTCAGTTTTCCAGGCTCTTATTACAGCAGGGGGGCAGGGTGGGGTAGGGTGGGTTGGGTTGGGGCAGGTTGGGGCAGGGTGGAGAGGCAACATATTCAGATCTGGAATTCCTGGCTTGAATATGTTCTGTCTTGGCTTATTGTCAAACTCAAGTCCATTTGACAAGATGTTACTTGACAAGGTCTCCATTTTCTGGATGAGTGCATGCTGGCATTTCCAAGTATTAAGAATGTCTGCTGGTATGGTTTGTGCTTGGTGTGCAGTTCAGATATCAGGAACCCTTTAACAAAATACTTCAGGCCAATATTCTGTCAATACGATGTGAGGAATATGAGAATCACAGACTAAGACGACAGTGTTGCTAGGTTTCTTGTTTAATGCTACTCTCAGTAATATTCCAGTAATATGGAGGCGGTCTGTAAATAATAGAGTTTGGATCAGACAATCCAGTGATCAACATCATGAGCATCGATTGGGATATGATGACATGGGAGTCTGGACCAGACAATCCAGTGATCAACATCATAAGCATCAATTGGGATATGATGACATGTGCCAACCAAGTTAGCAAGTCTGACCACCTGATCCCGTTAGTTGCCTCTTACGATAAGTGTGGGTTCCTGACCAATTCTAAAACGGATTTTCACGGGTCAAGACTACAGTGTAATATACTATACAGAAAGTGAATTAAATCCCATTTTACAACAGCGTGCACACTGTGTCAATAGTCACACAAGAACTAGTGATTTCTCAATGTGTCTATAAATAAGAGTGAATTTTTGCATCCATCCCAGTTAAACATCCACTAACCCCTTTCTTTCTTTATTTGGTTAGTTCAAATAACAAATATTGAATACATCATGCAAAATAAGTCAACGGCTTTGTTACAGAACAGTGTACATTCTCAAATATATCTGTGTTGTAATTGAGTGAGTGAGTGAGTTAAGTTTTACGCTTCACTCAGCAATATTCCAGCCATATGGCAGCAGAAGGGAGAGCAGGTACTAGATATTCACCGCTAAGATCAAACCCATCGCCAAAGGTATTGTGCTGACACAGCAAGAATTAATATCAGGGAGATCTCTCAGGATTCAATTCTACTACCTAAGGGACATAACTCCACACAGTGAAGTGTTGCATTTTAAACGATAGGGCTGCCTTAATGCTGGCATTTCCAGGTGGTCAAGCTGTCATTTTGACTAGAATTAGAAAGGATGATATTTATTGTGTTTGTAAGTCATCATTCCAAGACTGAGGCTATCATTTCCATACATAATCCCAATCTACATCATCTAAGTCTGAAATACCCCCAATGAAGATCTGGGTTAGAAGTAGTCTTCACCAGGCCATCATCTGAAACTCATGATAGTCACTACATTGTCTGGACAAGACTCCAATATTTACAGACCACTATCACAACTGGAATATTACTGAGTGTTGTGTTTAACAATAAACAAAAAACAACACTTTGGAGTGAATTAGTGAGTACAGTTTTATGCCGCTTTTAGCAATATTCCAGCAGGGGACACCAGAAATGGGCTTCACACATTGTAACCCTGTGGGAAATCAAACCCGAGTCTTTGGCGTGACGAGCCAACACTTTAACCACTAGGCTACCCCACCGCCCCCAACACTTTGAAAGGGCAAACAATCAAACAATAGCTTTAACATGAACAAACAAAACTGTACTCACATCATATGCACCAGCCTTAATCTGAGCGTATAACCTATGTTGGTCTTCATCCCAGAAAGGAGGGTAACCCACCAACAAGATGTATAATATCACTCCTGAAAACAAACAATATATTTCAATGTATTATTCATCAACTACTGGCCTCAAATTTTCTTACATAAATTAAATTTTGTCATTTTACCTGACTATGAAATGATGGACAACGATAGTTAACATACTGGACAAAGACCAGTTATTTCCAATCTTTGATACTGTGGTACAGACCGAGTCAGCTCTCTAACAATCAATCACAAGAGTTATGTCCCTTTGATTTCAGTACAAGTCACAAATACATTAGATACGACTAATTATGAAAGACTAATTAGTATAACGTGTAACATTTTACATGTAATTTCTCAGAAACAATGAAGTGGGTACTTAATGAGGAATAGTAAATAAATTTTGGCATGAATCCTACAATCAACATTTCACAGGAGTTGTTTCCCTTTGATTGGTCATCCAGTTCTGGCACTGCCACAAACTGAACCTTGTGTCTTCAGTCAATGTAGAGTATTTCAGTGCAGTTTCTACTTACCACAAGCCCAGATATCTACAGGTTTTCCGTAAGGGTCTTTCCTGAGAACTTCTGGAGACAGGTAACCTGGTGTGCCAGCGAAACCTGTGAACACAAGTTGTTTCAGAACCATTCAGATCAACATGACAGCCATAGAGTGATAACACATGAGCAGCTACTATTCAGGCCATGTCAACATATAAACATGATTGAGATCCAGAATAAATACACCACATGTGCCTGTTGTTTTTAGGTGAACATTTGACTTGTCACTTTTGTGATGCATTACAACCGAAGGATAGGCTTTAGTCATCTTTTGATGGACAGCATGAGTTGGAGAACATAAATGGTAGGCTAAATTAGAAACTGAACTAGTTAACAGGGTAAGTCAATAATTAGAAATGCTTGATGGTTACTGTCAGTAAAGTCTTTCATTGTTTTATTCCTACTAAAATCAAAATGGTTGCCAACAATAAAAGGGAGGTAACTCTTACCAAACCATGCTTGCTGGTCCCCCTGTACCTCAATGGCAAGGCCAAAATCAGCTAGTTTGACAGCAGCTCCTTTTGCTTTACTGGCCAAAAGCAGGTTCTCTGGCTGCAAGTGAACAGAGAGCATCATAACCTGCATATGTGACATCTTTGAAAGAACAAAACCTCATATAACAAAATACATACATACTTTACTGGACAGAAGCTGGTTCTCTGGCTGTAAGGGAACAGAGAGCATCATAACTAACATGTCTGGCATTTTGGAAAAAAACCTTATATAAATACATACATATATGACATATAACACAGATGAAAAATATGTGATCGATGATTTTCTTGGACTAATTGTGGAGATGGTGTTTCTTAAACTACATCAACATTTTTTGTTTTCATTGTGAAGTCACTGGATGATTGTCCTAATTAAATCAGACAGCTCTAAGTGCCTGATATTACTACCTTACTTTGTGCCTAGATTCAACAAGCAACTGAAGCTTATAATGAGACACTAACAAAATGATTCATCCATACTAACGCAGTAAACTAGGGTTATAACGAATTCAAAGTTACCACTTTTGGAGTATGTATTTAGACTGCAATATACAGCAAGTGGCCAGGACACAGTTTGTTATATCGTTAGTGCATTAGACGCATGTTCGTTATAAACCGAGTTTACTGTATTCTGATAACTTTATTACTTATCAAACTAGAGGCATATGAAGCCTAAATTGTTATGAGAAGTGGGCTACTTAAATGCTTCTCTTCCCAATTAGAGAGGAAATTAGTTGTATAGATAACTGCCTGAAGATGTTTAATGAGTAGTCTTTTATTGCACTATCATAATAGGAATGTACTTTCAAATGTGCATCATTATTTTTTCGAGTATAAAATTTGTATGAAACATGTTTAGACTTAATACTTCCAAATGGAATATTCAAATAAAAAGGTAATTTAATCATGCAAAATCTACAGAATGCCTAAGCCATGTAAACAAAGAATGTTGATGTGGAGGAAAATAATTTTATAAAATGATTGACATTGATAAAGTGATTTATTCAGACAATTAATTTATACTGTATGTTATTAGCCCTGTTGCATGGGTATTAGAGCTTTGCAACAATCAAACACCTTCCTAATCTCTTGAAAATCATACTCTCAAGGTCTAGTTCATTTTATCAATAATACTGGTCAGTATCATCCATATCATATGTTAGGGACACAAATGGGTTACGGAGATTTATACCATTCCAGCATGAGAACAAGGCTAATGAACCAACCACAGGCATAGGCATAGGGACATGCATTAGTCCATAGGTTGAGTTTCTTAGCAAGGGGTCATAATATCAGCTGTTATGATGTTAGCTGAAAATCTGTTCCGAAAAGTTCATAGCAACACTAACAGAATGCATGTGCCTTATGAAGTGGGAGATTTTTTTATAGCTTCCTCCATCAAAAATAATCAAGAAGTTTTCAGACTGACTGACTGAATGAGTTTGGTTTTACACCGCTTTTAGCAATATTCCAGCAACATCACGGCGGGGGACACCAGAAATGGGCTTCACACATTGTACCCATGTGGGGATTCGAACCCGGGTCTTGGGCGAAGAATTTTTCAGAAGAAAAAGAAGAAAGAAAATAATATTTCCCATTAAAAATTCAGAACTCTAAAATAGCTAACAGTTGCTTATACAAGAATGAAAATACTTAAGCATTATTTTGAAGTATTGAAGTCAGCAATATTCCAGTGGCATGTCCAGACAGGGTTGGGCAAACCAGTGGACACTGCATCAACAACCATCAACAACCATCAACATCACATTTATGTTACCTTAACCTTAACAGCCACGTCTTGTAAAAAGCCTTGAAAATAAAGGAGCCCTACCATGACAATGCTTACAAGAATACTTATTGGGAACGTTTTCGTGACTAAAAACAGACCTTGAGAGGTAAGGTGATCTATTTAGACTTAGCAATACTTATTGGGAACCTTGTTTGATTAAAAACAAGACTTGAGAGGTAAGGTGATCTATTTAGACCCAGCAATACTTGTGGGGGAACTTTTTGATATTAGAGCGGTTCCTGCACAGACAAATGTCCTACAAAGGAATGAAATATTTTTTAAATCACATGAACCCAATACTCCATAGATCACTTTTGTTACAATTTCCCCGCCATACAGCAGTAAAGTCATGCCTAAATGAGGCATATTTGCCAGAACATGGCGCAGCATGGCCCTCAATGTATCCGTTTACATGTTCCAGGTTTGTGTTTGTACTAAAATTCACATCAAAAGAGATTTCATTCACTTCATCAGATTAGAGACACTGTCAGATTGATTATTATCAAGGAAAACAAACTGTTTGTGTTTCTGATACGGGCTGACAGTTAAAAAGAAGTATGTGTAACAATAGGATCGATACGCGCTCTTGGAGGTTGCGGCATCTCCATGTCACAATGATCTGGAAATGCTCTTACAGAGAATCCATAATTTCCAGTCTTATTCTAGGAAGGTAATCCAGTATTCCATCCATGTTTGGCAGTGTACAACTTTTTGACAAGTAATTTCATAAAGCCACTGAACTTGTGTTTTCATGAATAACTCTCCGGGAATAAGCTTGTTAATGGACGTCACGTCACTGCTGAGGGGACACTCTCAATGCAAATGACCTTCCAGATACTCTTACAGTGTAGGAAAAACCTTTCTGGCATGATGTGTTACAGATTCTCAAGGATCTTATCAGATTAAATTTCTGAAAACACAAACCATCCCTATTGATTTCTATGAAGCTCCACAAATAGTCAGCCGTGTTCAAGCAATTATGACGCACATTTCAATTCGACAAATCAATGCAACTTGACGAGCCCCCAATGTAAAGCTGGCAGGATGGAAGTTAAAAACAGATGAAACAGTTGTCTTAAAAAAATTGAACATCTGTAACATATCACTTACAACTTAACCTGTTCATAATAATATATTCACTTAAAGTTTGACATTAATGAATACAATTACTGTTTTGATTTGAACATGAGGGATCAGCCTTGCTGGACCATTAGCTAGAGCAAGTTTAAGTTCTGGGTCCCCGTTCCATCAAACGATTTTAGCTCAAAGTCGACTGTAAGTCCCATGCTTTAACATAGACTAACTACAATTGTAGCTCTAAGATGACTTTGTAAAATAGGTCTGTGTCTTATCTAAACACCGATAGCAGACAATTATTCTGAAATATCCTGATATTCCACATGTGTTTAAGCTAAAAAATTAAAAATGTGCTCCACTGTTTTCAACTGTAAACCTGTACTGCTTTGCAATGGAAACTGTGCAGTGTGCAATTTTGGTATCTCATGAGTATTATTGCAAACAAATTCATGTGTTCTGAGACTGACAACACAGATTCAGCGATTCGCCTCGGACCTGGTTTGTGGGAGTATGAGTGGCACCATCAAAATGAACAGATTAATAAACATTCCTACAAAATAAAGTTTAATGTTTTTTCCCCCCTGTTATAAATGGTAATATGGAAATTTTACAGATGAAAATACCGATACTGACATTACTCTACTTTCTACTCTAAAGAAGTAAATGAGCAGCTGACTTTTTATGTGACTTAAGGAATTCTATCGTTCTTGATTTAGTCTGAGTAGTACTAGTATGTGTTGATGTGGTAAAAACATGGAATGATTCCTCTAATGAATTAGAATACATACATGTGAACAAATAGCGATACATACATGAACAATTAATACAATGTTTCTCATGTCATTTACAAAATCCACGGATACGAACAGTTATCACATGGGTTTATTCAGTTATATTTGACAATATCTGTAGCTATATTGACAATGAACAAAGCTTTAAGCTTGCCCATCAAGTAAAAATAATTCTGCATATCACTTTGTCATGATGAAAAAATTAAAATAGAGAACAGGTGTGTTTATACATTGACAGGGATTTAACTATGACATTCAATATTAAATCTACTGGAATAACAATAACAATAATAATAATAATACTCTTTCAGATATATTTGATTACTTTAGACAAAACAAAACAAAACAAAATATAAATGGCGTCCAACTTCATTGGGAAATAAGAACCTGTCACAGTTTATTTCATATCATAATTATTATGTATATGAATATATATAATTATTGACAGCTTCGAAAATTGTTATCACCATGACAACTGGATATGAACAATGCAGTTTTACATGATGAGCAAGCAAGCAGCTTTCGACAGCTGCGTGTCATGTGATTGGTCATGTGACTTACCTTAAGGTCTCTGTGGACAATACCATGTAGATGACAATAATTAACACTCTCTAATATTTGCTGCATGCAGTGACTGAAAGATAACATAGGAACAGCACTTCAGCATAAGCTTGCCTCTACGAGTAGTCTCTACATATCACAAGACAACATGCAGCAACCATCATCATCAACATCATCATCATCATCATCATCAGTATACTTCTTTGAAACAATGCTGGTTAGATAAGCCATGCATATTTTCATAATGCTGTTACATTATTTATATAAGAAAAGTTGAATGTTCAAACCATAGCCTTCACATTCTTGAATTATTCCTGTCCATCTAGGGCATCAAAGGGAGTGGAGTACATGACAAAAATATCCACTATATCTCAGGCCAGAGTAATTGTTATGGTTACTAGACTTGATAACAATGTATGTAATTAGGCATACAAGAGCTGTCTGCCAAATGGCTTGCATGGAAAAAAACAGATAAAATAATTGCATGTTTTCCAAGTTTGAACTGAAAAGTGTTTGACCTGTATATATTATTTACTTGACATGAATCATATTTCATGTATATGTAACAATATCCAACAGATGATGTGTATACAATCTGTATGCATATTGACAAGCTCTATTGCTGTAGTAATGATGTCGGAAATATGACACATTATGTTTACTTGCTACAGGGTAGTGTTGACACAGTCAGGGGAAGTCAATCATCATACTGGTTGAAATGGTTGATGAATGATCACGATGGCTGTTGCATATTTTCTTCATGGTACAACTATACTTAGATTTCCAATCTTGGCCACAAACTCATTCCTACACTTCTCCTGCATATTCATTACCTATTCATACCTGTAATTTGAGATTCTACTTCTAATGTGAAATCAAATCTAGAACTGGTATATCATGAAAAATATATATGTTGTATATAAATACATACAAATCTTCAAAGATGTGTTAAAAGGAATGAATGAGTGATACATTTATATTTCTCTATGATGTTTGAATCTCAAATGATGTTTTAAAGGAATGAGTGAAAGGTGAACATTTATTTCCCTATAAATGTATTAATGAAAACACTGACAGAGAAATATAGATTCATTATTCATTAATTCTCATAAACATCTTTTGAGGATCTCCAAAGTATATTAGATATAGAATGTGGAACACTGGATGGTACAAGAGTAGAACAGGTACCCATCTGTTTAAGCGTAAAAATATTGAAAAATTTAGACAATAATGGTCTACATTAATAGCTCATAGGGTGTTTTTGTCAAAAACAAAAATTTTACTTTCTGAAGACATTTATATAAATTCGGATATCATTAAATATAATTTCTTAATACATGAGTTGTGAACATAATAACGCAATTGTTGACCCTAACCTAATGTAACTTCCAATCGTCATAAAAGGCAAAATGCAATGATCGTTATGCAATCAACAAGGTTCAGGACGAGACCAAGTGCCTGTTTAACAGCTATAAAACCATTTTGGAATGTACTAATGATTAACTTGGAACAGCATGTTAGTTGTCATGCAGTGGAATATGCAGTAGAGACATAGGGATGAATGTGTGGCTGAACGGAAGCATACAAGACAGTCAACTGTTCTCTACACTGGTGATTCCATGCGTTGGCCACGGGCACGGAGACCCACCTTCAAGTCACGATGTATTACATGGTTTTGATGGCAATGGTTAACACCCTCAAGAATCTGCTGTATGCAGTGACTGAAATAATGCAGGGAAAATCCCAACATAAAGAATCTCTTAGCTTGTCATGTGACCAATAACGGCTGTTGTGATATGTAAAGCAACCATTGATGTCAATGTCATGTTAACTGCTCATGGCTTGCTGAAAAACATGCTTCTCTGGTGTCGAATGTCATAGAGCATTATTCCAGCTTTGTATTGACAGCTTGTACGCCTGGACCAGACAATCCAGTGATGGAAACTGGGTATGATGTCAACAGGACACTAAGTATGACATACAATCATCCAAAGTCTGACTCTGCTGCCCAAAAGTAGGTAGCTTAGGACCTATTTTGAACCAGAATTCCAAAGTGTTTACCATAAAGTCTAAATCTGGACAATTTTTTTAACAAAATTCAACGTACCAGTCCTGTAATCAGATGCACAATAATTACTGCAGAAACATCAACACAGATGACTGATTGATAAACATATGCCTGTTAGACCTACTACATATACAGCACTACAAATGAAACGATCATACAGTTCACTAAGTCTGTGAGGATTCAAATTACTAACCAGAAACATAAACCTGCTGTATTCATTTCAAACATCAGCGGATATTATTTCAACAGAAGTATTTGAAGCTTAAAGTTAGGAACTACAACTTTAAGAGGTTATTCTAAAGGCTACAGGTGTTAAATTAGCCTATTCATGGCTTTGCTAACAAAGCTAGAGATGTCATAAAATGACACACTTCAACTGCAAAACCTAAAATACTGAAGGCATATACATAGTTTTGTTTTAAATCGTTTCCTAGTAACACGTAATAATTCAATGCATTCCTTTTCTGCACTAATCATTCCATTGTTTGTTACAGGTTAAACGTAAATAGCTGGTGATCACTTCATAAAAAGTTGTAATTCTTAGATGTTTTGTCATTCGAGTGCTTTAATGGACTGAATTATGGGAAAGCTGCCATTTAGTGGGTAATCCGATTCAGCGACTGAATCTTCTTTACAAACTTAATGAGAATTTACTCATGGGAAAATAATTCCCTGTCAACAAAATAATGATTATTCGTACAAAAATATCTTGAACCACATTTGCATTGGATTGCACAAGCAAAGATAAGCTTAACTTAACATTATGTGGCAAAAAATGTTCCAGAATAGTTCACAAAACATGGAGTCATTAATCCTACTGAACAATACCACAGCAGCACTTGACCAAGATCAATGTTTGATTCAAGAAACGTACAAACATCCTGATTTGTTGTATTTGTGGATGTCCGTTATGTGTTTTGAGCAGGGATAACGTTCTTGTTGTGGATACCCATTCAATAGTAAGTCTGAGGCAATAAACCACCCAGATGCCATGTCTGGAAATTGAGTTTAAATTACCTGGCGTCAGCCTCACTGTAAAATTCCCTAGCCACTATATCTTCGAACAGTTCGCCTCCTGTGACCCTGCAATATAAAAGACCAGGCAATGAGATGGGGCCTATAGAGGCCATTTCTGCCGTGGCAGTGGCAGAAGTTACCCAATAGAAAACAATGCTTTGTAAAGCATGCAGGAGCACAACATAAACCAACATCACCGATATTGAAGATGCCATACACACAAAGAGGGTGTTCTGCAGCTCACCATAGCAAAAATAAATATCAAACATATTTGGAAAATGTCAACAGAATGTCTGGTGTTAATAGCCTATTTTATGAATAGACTAAATAAACAGAATACAACTTCATTTCATTCTTACAGCAGAGAGAATGTGAATTTAGTTTCCATCGTATCATAGTCTCAGTAAAGATTAATTATTGGAGATCTTAGCCTTTGTAAAAACCCACAAGCATGGGTATAATATTTCAAAACAGAAACATACTCTGGGAATCAAGGATTTGAGCCAATGATCATGGGGTTCTGACAGGCCTAGGGGACATAACTGTGCACAGCAACACTGTAGATAGCAACATGACTAGGTCATCCTAATCTTACACCGAAATAGTGGTGTGTCTCTGGCAAGACAATACAAACAACATATTTGTTAGAATAACTTTGAAATAAAGTTGTGGGTAGATAAATTCTTTATGAAGTGTCAAAAAATATACAAGTCATCAGAGAGTTTATTGCGATATCTGTGTCTTAGGAACTAAAAGTTTTTCAGGGATGCAGACATTGGTTCTTGTAGACATACCCTAGATAAGCTGGAATTATGCATGTCCTGGATCAAGCCAAGACACAATCTGCATATGTCCTAGTATCTTTAATACACAGTACATGTATCAGTATTTATCATACAAACATTCCTATATACCTCATTACAACCAATTCACCTCAAAATAAACAAACTAGTTTCTTTTCTTACACCTAAAACCAAAACCCAGCAGTTTATCACCACACATCTGATGATACCATTTATCAAGTGCTGTTTTTGCCTCACAGATTCTGCGACACCATGTTTTTTCCCCTTGCAAACCTGCAGATAACCGAAATTCAGATGTGTTTTGTCCCTCCACACAATCTAGCTTAATGATCAATAGACAAAACAAGTTCAAAGATTTCGTAATGCGAAATTTATCTAAGATAAGGTAAGGAATTTAGAAGTGGTTTTGTCTTCTAGAACCATTACCAGAATACGACTCACCATAGTCTCTGGCAGGTGTTACTTCAGCAGCTGAAGAACATACAATCATCGCCCTGAAAGCTCCTGTTTTCAAAACCCAGAGAGCTAGATCAAAGCCAAGTGGCACTCACTTTAATCTGATCAACATGTTGGTGATATAATTAAACCAATAGGGACTACAATTAATCTAAAAAAAATAGCTTTTTCTGCTCCTTTGTTTCAAATTCTGACCTTCTTTCTGAGTGTGCTGACTTGAAGACACAAACCCATTTGTTTATCAATATTGTGAGCAAGGGATTGAGAAGATCTGCTGAATGAGGATGCTCTTACCATCAGACAACCAAGCCTGTACCCAAGTGGGTATTTTCATTGGGTCTTTGTTAAGACAAGCTTATACTTGAACCCCTAGGCCACCCAAACTGTCCAAATGTACCCATGTGGAGAATCAAACCTGTGTCCTTGGCATAATGAAAAACATTTTAATCACCAAGTTATCCCACTGCCTGGAAATGCCATTAATGACTGACCAAACATTTGAACAGCAAACGCATTAGTTTTCAAGAAGGCAATGTTTGGAAGATCAGTACTGTGCAGCATTTTGCGCTAATGTGTTGCTTTAGCAGCTTGCACCATCTCATTTGTTTGTCATTTATAATACAAGAAATACTGCCCTACTGACCGTCGTTAATCATAAAATTCTATAATAAGCTGCAGGCAACACTTCAGGTTAAATGCAGCCTGAAATAGGTTATGCAGTATCTGATTTCAATCAATCAGGGATAAAGAATCACACAAACAGCGCAACAAGCGTATGCTGAGATGCTGTGTAATGATTCCGCCAAGTCTACAACAGCATTAGGCCAAACAAACCTACAGAATCAAGTGCTGATAGCAATAGTTGCCATTTTTATGACTGAAAATCAACAAAATCAATGGTTAATGTAATTTGCCCTGGTATCCTCTTTCACCATGCCTCCCAGCACACAGCACTCAGAACATCTCAGCTTTCTTACACAAACAAGTCAGTCTCACATCCTCCTTAGACACAACAGTCAGTCTCACATCCTCCTTAGACACAACAGTCAGACATCGTCCTCTCACATCCTCCTTAGACACAACAGAGTCTCACATCGTCCTTAGACACAACAGAGTCTCACATCGTCCTTAGACACAACAGTCAGTCTCACATCCTCCTTAGACAAAACAGTCAGAGTCTCACATCGTCCTAGACACAACAGAGTCTCACATCGTCCTTAGACACAACAGTCAGAGTCTCAACACAACAGTCAGTCTCAAATCCTCCTTAGACACAACAGTCAGAGTCTCACATCCTCCTTAGACACAACAGTCAGTCTCACATCCTCCTTAGACACAACAGAGTCTCACATCGTCCTTAGACACAACAGTCAGGGTCTCACATCCTCCTTAGACACAACAGTCATAGACACAACAGTAAGAGTCTCACATCCTCCTTAGACACAACAGTCAGAGCCTCACATCCTCCTTACACACAACAGTCAGTCTCACATTGTCCTTAGACACAACAGTCAGAGTCTCACATCCTCCTTAGACACAACAGTCAGTCTTACATCGTCCTTAGACACAACAGTCAGAGTCTCACATCCTCCTTAGACACAACAGAGTCTCACATCCTCCTTAGACACAACAGTCAGAGTCTCACATCGTCCTAGACACAACAGTCAGAGTCTCACATCGTCCTTAGACACAACAGTCAGTCTCAAATCCTCCTTAGACACAACAGTCAGAGTCTCACATCCTCCTTAGACACAACAGTCAGTCTCACATCCTCCTTAGACACAACAGAGTCTCACATCGTCCTTAGGCACAACAGTCAGACTCTCCCATCCTCCTTAGAGACAACAGTCAGAGTCTCACATCGTCCTTAGAGACAACAGTCAGAGTCTCACATCGTCCTTAGACACAACAGTCAGCCTCACATCCTCCTTAGACACAACAGAGTCTCACATCGTCCTTAGACACAACAGTCAGTTTCACATCCTCCTTAGACACAACAGTCAGAGTCTCACATCGTCCTTAGACACAACAGTCAGAGACTCACATCCTCCCTAGACACAACAGTCAGAGTTTTACATCGTCCTTAGACACAACAGTCAGTCTCACATCGTCCTTAGGCACAACAGTCAGTCTCACATCCTCCTTAGACACAACAGTCAGAGTCTCACATCGTCCTTAGACACAACAGTCAGCCTCACATCCTCCTTAGACACAACAGTCAGTCTCACATCCTCCTTAGACACAACAGTCAGAGTCTCACATCCTACTTAGACACATCAGTCAGAGTCTCACATCGTCCTTAGACACAACAGAGTACACATCGTCCTTAGACACAGCAGTCAGTCTCACATTGTCCTTACACACAACAGTCAGAGTCTCACATCCTCCTTAGACACAACAGTCAGAGTCTCACATCCTCCTTAGACACAACAGTCAGAGTCTCACATCCTCCTTAGACACAACAGTCAGTCTCACATCCTCCTTAGACACAACAGTCAGAGTCTCACATCCTCCTTAGACACAACAGTCAGTCTCACATCCTCCTTAGACACAACAGTCAGAGCCCCCCCATCCTCCTTAGACACAACAGTCAGTCTCACATCCTCCTTAAGACACAACAGTCAGTCTCACATCCTCTTTAGACACAACAATCAGAGCCTCACATCCTCCTTAGACACAACAGTCAGTCTCACATCCTCCTTAGACACAATTCAGAGCCTCCCATCTCTGGACACAACAGTCAGCAGCTCCAAGCCTTAGAACACACACAACAGTGAGAATCTCTCAGCATCCCTACACACACAACAGTGAGAATCTCAGCCTCCCTACACACACAACAGTGAGAATCTCAGCCTCCCTACACACACAACAGTGAGAATCTCAGCCTCCCTACACACACAACAGTGAGAATCTCTTAGCCTCCCTCACACACACACAACAGTGAGAATCTCTCAGCCTCCCTACACACACAACAATGAGAATCTCTCAGCCTCCCTACACACACACACAGGAATCAGTGAGCCTCTCTCAGCCTCCTACACACACACACAGCAGTGAGAATCTCTCAGCCTCCCTACACACACACAACAGTGAGAATCTCTCAGCCTCTCAGCCAAACAGTCCCTACACACACAACACAGAGGAATCTCTCAGCCCCCTACACACACAACAGTGAGAATCTCTCAGCCCCCTACACACACAACAGTGAGAATCTCTCAGCCCCCTCCCTACACACACAACAGTGAGAATCTCTCAGCCCCCTACACACACAACAACAGTGAGAATCTCTCAGCCCTCCTACACACACAACAGTGAGATCTCTCCTCCCTAGCCAGTGAGAATCTCTCAGCCTCCCTACACACACACAACAGTGAGAATCTCTCAGCCTCCCTACACACAACAACAGTGAGAATCTCTCAGCCTCCCTTCACACACAACAGTGAGAATCTCTCAGCCCCCCTACACACACAACAGTGAGAATCTCTCAGCCTCCTACACACACACAACAGTGAGAATCTCTCAGCCTCCCACACACACAACAGTGAGAATCTCTCAGCCTCCCTACACACACACAACAGTGAGAATCTCTCAGCCCCCTACACACACAACAGTGAGAATCTCTCAGCCCCCTACACACACAACAGTGAGAATCTCTCAGCCTCCCCTACACACACACAACAGTGAGAATCACTCAACCTCCCTACAATCTCTCAGCCTCCCTCAGCCTCCCTACACACACACAACAGTGAGAATCTCTCAGCCTCCCTACACACACAACAGTGAGAATCTCTCAGCCTCCCTACACACACAACAGTGAGAATCTCTCAGCCTCCCTACACACACAACAGTGAGAATCTCTCAGCCTCCCTACACACACAACAGTGAGAATCTCTCAGCCTCCCTACACACACAACAGTGAGAATCTCTCAGCCTCCCTACACAATAACAGTGACACACACAACAGTGAGAATCTCTCAGCCTCCCTACACACACAACAGTGAGAATCTCTCAGCCAGCCTCCTACACACACACAACAGTGAGAATCTCTCAGCCTCCCTACACACACAACAGTGAGAATCTCTCAGCCTCCCTACACACACAACAGTGAGAATCTCTCAGCCCCCTACACACACAACAGTGAGAATCTCTCAGCCTCCCTACACACGTAGCAGCCTCCCATCAGTCATGTACATCAATCAGACTCCCTGAAAAAGGAAGTCTCTTGACACTTCCATGCATATGCACCAATCAGGGAGTCTGCCTAAAAACACGAAACAATCAGTGATTGTCCTATTCTCCCAATTCTGCAGACAGTCATGGAAAAATAGAACCTTGGTGTTGTAGCTCACCTGGATATTTATTACAGAGTTAAACTCCACCACAGACACCCACTTACCAAGAGATACTGCCGTCATTGACATGAAATACTTTCTTAAAAACTCTAATAAAAAAACAAAATATAATAGAAAATCTCTAAGATACACAGATGCTGTAGTTCAGATCCCTCAGTTCGGCATTTTCAGAGCAGAATATGTTAGTACAGCCACAAATGCATATAGAGAATTTACAGGCATGGTTAAAAATGAAGTCAAAATTGATTAAACATGCAAAACAACTTGTTTTCAAATGTTTGATTCTACAGGAAACAAAACAAATACATTCTATTTTGTTAAACTGAATGGCTGAGTAATGGTCAAAAATAGATTTTTCAAACTGACCATGAGATTCACAATTAGGAGTTATCAGTGGATGGAACAAGCTGGTGAAGTTTCAGCTTTATTGGTCATGGGGTTTCTGAGTTTTGTACACTGTGAGGAAATACATTTCAATGGAATTCAAAGTCAAGCTAAGATCAAAATATAAAATATTGTAAAGATAAAATCCTGGAACCGAGATGCGCATGCCCCACTAATAAATACACATACAGCAAATTTCATTCCATTTTAAACAAAAAGATATATAATGAAAAATCAGAGTAATGGCCGTAAAATGGCGAATATGAATATGAAAGCCAAACCTTTGTGAACAAATTGAAGTGTCATCAATTGTGGAACAAGACAATGTGTGAGGTTTAACAACATGGGTAGTGTTTCCTGAGAAAGTGTTTACAGTGCGAGGAAATACATTTTAAGAGAAATTTGTAGAATGATCCAAGAACACAAATAACAAAGTATGTATTGTGTCCAACTACCAAGTACACATATAAAACACATATTTGGGTTTGAAACTTTGAACAAGTTGATGTCATTATTGGTGGGGAAAAGTATATAGGTGAAGTTCAGCTTCATTTACCCAAAAGTTCCTGAAGACATGTTAAAACAGATGTTGGTAATAAAGGTTATGGCATAAGCTTATTTGATTTCTAGTCAATTAACAATAACACAAGTTAACTAAGTTTCATTTGACCAAAAATTCAGATAAAACATCTGATTGTTTTGGCCTTTTCAAAATGTATATTTAAAAACAATTTATATTAAGAAGCATGATCAAATTATGAACTGCTCAGTTCTACCATGGATAAAAAGTCTGACCCATGTATGGTCATTCAAAATAGTTTAGTCATACTTACAAATCAAATACTAGGTAGTGAAACCCCTCATCTTGTATACTGTCATGTAAGCGAACTGAAACAGAAAAAGAACTGTAAGATGTTTGGCAACAAGCTGTATCACACGACTGGATGTGTGGTAACTGTACCTTATCACACTCACAGGAGCTGTAAAAGAAAACTGTATCCAACCTCAACAAGATAAGGACACAGTCTGAGGAATACAGTCATAACACTATTTTTCATCAAGTAATCTCAAAAAAGTTTCATAGCCAACTTTAGTTGAATATGAAAAAAAAAACCATTTTATCAAATACCAGCCCCACAGATGTTTTCATCAGCCTCATAGTTAGACTCTTGTGAAGTCACATGTTTGAAAACACTTTCTGTGAGTGTTAAAACTCAGGGCTCTGCTGTGATGTGATGGGTTTAACCCCACGTATCACATGGATGTACAAGGAGCACCCAAAGTTTGGTCAAAATCCATGAGCATTGTAGACTCTCAAGTGCAATAATATTATTAGTGATTGTTTTACCGAAATAGTAATTTTCCGGCATAGATATTTACACCCTTGGCAAGATAGTACAATACAATAAAGAACTTATCCAGAAGTATTTTTCAATAATGTCCTTTGATATCTAATATACAATCTCCTTGTTTCAAAGATAGTTAAATTCCACAGGAAACATACTTGCTTCAATCATGTAACTAGTGATATCAATTCACTAGAAACTTTGTAAAAAGGAAGCGAATTCTGATGCCTTACATTTATATGACCTTCACATTCATACTCTACTCCATAACGGTTTTTAAAACCTTACGGCAATTATCCCAATGAATCCATCTCTGCTCAACAAAAACAAAGTTTTAATAGAATCTGTAATTTGACTGCTATTTAAAGTTGACAGTATTCCAAAAGAAAATTAATTTGTTTTACAACAAACTGATGTGAAAGTGTGATAAATTTCTATTTTCATGGAAACTTTATCCAATCAACTTTTAGCTGCTGCAAGCTGACAAGAGAGTGTGCCCCCATCAGCATCATTCAATTGTCTAGCAGCCATGATCTCAAAGGTAATTTCTTCATTATTCCTTGATGGTGTGCAACTGAAGCACAAAAGGTTTCTTGATTTTCATCAATACACGAGAGAAGAGACTTGATTGGACTAGACTGTTTCTGAGATAACAACAAGGAACATGATGAGATGATAGTCTCAAAGATTACTGCAACCATACTTCCAATCACTACACTGATGGCAATACTCCTTATCCATAACAAAGCTTTCAGCCAGCATTACTTGTAATAATTTCCCAATTGCAGTTTTATTTTATACCAAAATAAGGTCTTAGTTTATCATGACTGATTAGCGAGTTAAGGCGAGCAAGCTTCTCAAGATTGGCCTGCCAACCAGCTGATTACTGAACCTCTGATCAGGCTGGGCGTGTCACCTTTAACCTTTTTCACAACCTGTCATGACATTATGGTTCTGTGTCGCTTGAATCAATAATACTTCAGCCTAAAGGTCAATCTTCAGTCAGGCAAAAGCGCCCCTTTAAACTAAGAACAAAAAATGCTTATAATGGACGTAATTGTCGTATTTTGAAAGGAGGCAGGTTTTTTTTAATCGACATTACATCAAACATTTCTGGCTGACCCTCAAAATATCATTTGTGCATTAACAGAATTGTACTGAACAAAACAGCAGGTATGGTCATCATCATTTTCTTCAAATACATTAATTGTCTCCATACATGGCGGACATCAAAATAAGTTTTTATATTTGTAGACAAATAGCATGATGTCTGAGCTAAAGAAAAATCCTGAAATGATCCTGAAGATCTAATGGCACACTGACGGACGCCATTAAACAATCTGTGGTTTGTATCACAACTACTGTTAGAGTGTGAATAAAAGACTCAGTGTTGATGCCACAACAGGTTAGCCATCCATATGCATAGGCGACAACTTGGTACTGAGAAGTTATTATTTGACATTTTCGGTTTGTTGTTGATGATGATTAGATTCTGAAACTTTCATTAAGTTTCAATTGTTTTGAGGATAAGAAGAAAGTAGTGATTCTTTGAATGTTTATTCTGTCTGATGTCAGATGTTAACTCAAACACAAACAACTCTGATGAAACATATGTTATATTTGGGATGACACTTTCTTAGTAAAGTACAAATTCCAGTACTTTTTCGGTTGAGTCCCATCTGGGATTCGAACCCACACCCTCAGAGTCAGGCACCTAATCGCCAATCGAATTTGGTATTTCAAGTGGATGAAAATACTGACTCTCACTTCTCATTTCTGTTCATGTTTTGGGAATATTTTTTTCAAGCAGTGACTGAAAAAATGTCCTGTCCCATTATCATGGTATCTAGCATACATTCTTCTTTGACTACATCCACAAAAAAACCGTTTGTTTCATTAAAACACACAAAGGACAATAATACCACTCAGGAATTCATATATCTTTTTTCCCTACAACATGATTTATCCATACGAAGCAGTTGAGGACACACTCAACTTTTGAAGAAATGATGTAGCTTTACGACAGTCTGACTGACTGACTGACTAGTTTGGTTTTACGCCGCTTTTAGCAATTTTCCAGCAACATCACGGCGGGGGGGACACCAGAAATGGGCTTCACACATTGCACCCATGTGGTTAATCGAACCCGGGTCTTCGGCGTGACGAGCCAACGCTTTAACCACTAGGCTACCCCACCGCCCCACGACAGTCTGAAGCTTATGAGATGATTTGTACAAATTTCAACCTTATTGATTTGTACATTTGTTTAACATGACATCCATACAGCACAACAGCAATAACAAGTCACCATAGTAACTGTATGTAACACATGTTCTACAAACCAGCTATACTCACCATGTATCGAATTACACAATGACAGATGAATAAACAGAATGTGCACGTGAGTAAAAAATGACATTCTCACCATGGCTGACATAGCAGCAGCCATGTTAACATCGGGCTGGAATTCCATCAGGATATATGGATACCACGAACCCATACCAAACCATGTGACATGCTACATGCGAGTTGTAATCTCATGTACAAAACCCCTTGCCTCATACTTATCAGTTCAATATGGCACAAATGGCAGTTATAATTGGTAGTAACTCCTACTCACTAAAGTGAAAAATTACTAATACAAGAGAGTGAGTGAGTGAGTGAGTTTAGTTTTACGCCGCACTCAGCAATATTCCAGCTATATGGCGGCAGTCTGTAACAACAGCATGAGCACGATCTGCGCAATTGGGAACCGATGACATTTGTCAACCAAGTCAGCGAAACTGACCACCCGATCCGGTTAGTCGCCTCTTACGACAAGATAGTCGCCTTGTTATGGCAAGCACATGGGTTGCTGAAGACCTATTCTACCCCGGATCTTCACGGGTCTCTAATACAAGAGAACTAACCACCTTTAACTGGTATTTAAAAATATACTCTACTCAAAACAAACTGAAGAAGACTTGATTCTTTCATTTTACTATAAAGAATCAGACTGCTGACAGATTAACCAGGACAGTAACTATAGTAGTAGAAAAAGAACCTGCATTCTTTTGCGTAGTATGTAAGTATCTGTGAGAGTCAATCACATCTTATTACATAGAAAAAGTGTTGTTTACACAATATGTGTGCAGACCTGGCAACACATAGTTCCTGATTCAAGATGGAAATATTTTCATATTCCCCATCATACCTAGGAGTAAGGCAGCAGGGTGATCTCTCCTGCTAAACACGCATCACCCCAGATCCATGTCCAACAACAAGTACACTCAGCAATTCTAGTTTCAGAGCTTCACAAACTTATTAATTTCCATCTGCGATAGAGAGTTATGACCTGTGAATAACTGAATGCTACTGAACCTGTTTCAATAATCTGTATTGCACATTGGAGCTTTGAATGCACCTGTTCCAGGACAAGATAAACCAGTATAGAATTATTTTTGTCTGTTTAAAAATGTATTCGGTTTTCTATGTATGTACTGTCACAAATGCATACCCAAAAGTCTTGTCTACACGTCTCTATCTAGCTGGGAAATATATACAATATGTTTCTATGTTAACGTGTGACCTACATGTAATCCTAAACGAACATCATTTTCTTCCAGAATGTCCTGGCTATTATAACTCAAGAATAAGATATCTTCCAAAGTAATTAAAGTTTTCAAACGACTGTCATGAAATTTAATATTCCGCTAACATCTGTAAATCGTATCTTGTTCAGCTATGGTGAAAATTGATTAAGGAATCCTTGTGTAAAAGGAAAATGTTTTTGAAAGAGTAAGTACTGTGCTAAAATAATTTTCTTGTCACCTTGTTATTGTTATTGAATTAATTTATGTTTTTTGTATGTTGGCCTTTATCCTGAAACAAACTCTGCAACTTGGTATGTTTAAAACAATGAACAGAATCATTAAAACCTTTCCTCGTGAACCACATCACCAGGTGATCACACACATGTGAACATATCATTAGAATCAAACTTTGCATCACTATTTCAGAACCATAAATTACAAATAATTCAGAGAGTTGCCACCAGACCTACATGATGATACAAATAAAAGTTGAAAATATAAACGCTTCTGTCACTAAGGCATTGTCTATAGACGACATTTCTGTCTTCTTCGCAGACAGAAAAAACCCATTATCTCAAAGTATATGTTGGCATCATTTCTATCTTTAACTGTAATCTGAACATTAAATTCCACTTTCAGCTAAATCAGCAAATATTCCAAGAGCTGTAGAAATTTCTTGTAACATGATAGATCTAGTGGAAAAATGCTATTTCAGCAAACCTATATCAATTAGCACAGCTGGGTCACCTGAGGTTTTCTTTACCAGTTTATCATTGCACTATCATATTGCATGGAATGGAGAATAATACATTTTCCATCAATGTAGTTGATGTCATCCAAGATGTCCAAACAGCCATCACAGATATAGACCGGTTTATATTGTACTTGCTTATCTTGTTTCATTATTATTTTGCAAATACAACATGGAGTACATGTTCAAAGAACAGTGACTGGCACAAACTGTGAATAT